TATTGGCAATAGAAAGCCAGTCAACTAACAATTAATAATTTATTAGAGGTTATTACAGGTATACCTTCATGCCATACATATGGGCAGCACTATTAACACACCAGGTCAAGTTTAACACCCCTGTGTATCGGAGCATAACACAAACAAACCAGGCATTCCACACGGACTCACCCCATAGATAATAGGGTATATACGTGGGAATCGCTCCCCATATTAATGCCACTAATGGTATATAAAAAGCTCTTTGAAACTTGACCAGTGGGTCGTTAGCCAGGTCTGTCATGTCGAGTGTCTTTCCCTTTTCCCTAACGTCGGGATGCTTTTTGCATAAAAGCCAACCCACGTGTGAGAAAAAGAAACCCCGACTGGAGTTGTGTGGGTCGGCGTCGGTGTCCGAGTACTTGTGGTGCAGGCGATGGTCGCGACTCCATTCAAATATGTCGTTCTGGAGGGACATTGTCTGCAACACCATTAGTATGACCTGAAGGGGGAGTTTGGCTTTATATGTCCGGTGACACCATAACCTATGAGCCCCACACTGATTTTAATAGTATATAATACAATTAGCTATTATTGATACTACTATTGATTATTTTATACCTGAATACCCATCGATGAAAACATAGCAATAAAGTTCATGAAAATAATTGTCTTAAACTGGACCACAGTTATGGACAAATAAAAGCCATACAGAGCTGACAAATGCAATATTGCCATTAATGTTATGTTACGCCACACCAACTCCCGTTTATACTGTGATTTTACATTGCAAACTGGCTCAGATTCACATATTGCCCCGTTCACTTTGGTTTCAGTCATTTCTTATTAAATAATTCTAAGAACTTTTTAATATAGAAAATAAACCAAACTATATCTAATTGGCTAAATTTTGGTTAAAGTGAACACTTTTTAACCACTTCTCAGTCTTTTTATATTGAGTTAAATACATTAAATGAAATTTGACAATGATAAATATAATATCATTTATTAATTAGTTGAATATTTTGTTTATGAGAATATCCGTGTAATTAACTCACGATTAATTGTTTTGCAATTAATACACTAAAAACATTAATTACATGAAATAATTCACTATAATTGACAAAATATTGCTAATTCACTAATTTGTAATTTCCAACTAAATACTTAATTACATATCAATGACGTTTAGATTTCAATTATTTCATTAATTAATTAGACATCAATTTATTCAATTATTATTGTATGCATGTATTTTTTAAATAATCTTATTTAGTTTAATTGTCTTATTGTCTTAACAGTCTTATTGAGTATTAATTAAATAATTGGAATTAAAATTTTAATGTTTTAAAATTAATATTTAAAATAACCTTTAATAATGTAGCTACATTATTATAATGTAAATTACTGCATGCATCCTAGGTATTAGAGCATAAGTTAAATTACTAATACAATAATTCTTTATAAAGTTAATATTATGTTAGAGTAAGAGTCCACCTTGTTAGATTATTATTTAGAATCTTAACTCCATTATCTTGTGAAATAATAATTGATCAAGTAATACTGTTTTACTAATTTAACTAATTTTATTTTAGTTATTTATTCAAAATCATCCACTTTACAATTACATTACATTGAGTATATGAAATTTTGAAAATATTAGAAATTAGATATTAGAAACACTGAATTAAAAAGTTTTATTAAAAATTTTATACAATTAAAATATGTGTCACAATTGACGTGCTTAATAAAAATATTTTGTTTATATTTTTAAAATGCCAATTAATTTAAAAGATTGCGATACTTATATTGCTTATTAAAGAGTGATTATTTTGATCTATTATTTAGTTTTTATTTTTAATTAAATGACGCATAGAAACATGATTAACAATCTAGTATTAATTAATTAATTGACAATACTATACTTAAAATTACTATACTTACAAATTATAAATAAAATTGCTAAATATAAAATCTTCCAAAAATAGTAATTAAAACTCAATTATACAATCAAATTAATCAAATAAAATATTGTATAAAACTATAATCACTATTCTCACTTTATTTTATCTATTTTATCTAGTCAGTTATATGTCTCAATGTGTTTATAAAAAATTTCATTAATAAAACTTATTATACATTAAAATCAGATACAATTATAATTAATACAATAATGTTGTCTAACGCTGTAATCAACGAAGACAACACTAATAATAATAATAATAACCATGCTAAATTAGCCCAAACTGATTCAGAACCGTATAAACTTGAAATTGTTTGGCGCAATGTTCTCATGTTTCTCATATTGCACCTTGGTGGCTTATATGGCCTCTATATTGCCTGCTTTTA